TGGAAATCAGAATTTAGCTTCTGGAAGACTAAATACTAAACATTTTTCATTTATTCCAATTAATCATTTTCAAACAATTTTTCTGTTTGTAAATTATTTTGAAGAAACTTATAAACGAAGCTGATTCCTATTTTATATACTCGAATCTTAGAAATCCGGGATATTGAGAATGAACAGCCGCTCGAAAAATTAAACGATATTTTGAAGGAACAGCGCGCAATTAAAGTTTAATTCCACGAGACGGCGTTTCAAATGCACCGAGCTAATAACATAAAATAATTAAATAGAGTGGAACTCGTTTTCCAATAAATGTAACGATTTAAGATATTTTAATAAATTTACGAAAAACGTGGAATACGTGACAAAATATTACATAAAAATCGTTTAATCGGATCATCGCCAAACATGTTTCGGAACAACGTCGACCACGGTGCGCAAGTCGTGAATTCGTTTTCGTTATCATTGACAGGAAAGCTTCACTGCGTGACAGAATAAATGTAATTAGAATAAGAAACCTGTGAAACGTATTATCTCGTATCCAGAGTCGTGCCCGTTGTCCTCGAGAAACTTGTTTCGAGTTCCGGTCGGACGGATGACTGTGCGAAAACTTTCCACTGGTCTTTTTCGTTGGCATTTTCAGCGCCGGAATGTACGATCCGAAATGTTTCGAAATTTCCATCGAACTTCTTGACAGTTAATTGCTATCGCGGTTTCGCCACAATCACCAGCCACACCTTGAAAAACCGCTGAACCTTTCAAGCGTCGAGCTCGGCGGATACGCTCGGGTAGATCTCAGAGTTAATCTCATTTGTAACCCTTTCCCTCCCGCGGGGCGATCCTCTCTTTAGCGAGTTTAGAATTATCCGGTAAATTTGCATGTTAGGCCGCTGCTCTTAAAGCGGTCGTTTGCTCACGGTCGTCTCGAGCGCAGAGTCAACGGACTTTTACATCGTTTTGCCCTTCGGTTTCATCTAGGAGGAATTGTACTTGCTCTGAGGAACGACAGGCCGAGTAAGATCTCTCGAACATTTTGCCTCAGACGAGCGGAAATAGTAATCGGGAATATCTTTCGCGAAAATTCGAGAAAATTTTGTGGAACCTCTTTCGGATAATAAGAATTTGTGAGACACTCGTTCACGAAAGTGTTCGAACATTTATAGGGAACTTCTTGCAAATATATTATTATTTACGAATATACGAGTACATTATAAAATATTTTCAAATTTTACTAACACCACAGTGAGATTGGTGCAAATTTAAAAGTATATGTAGAAATGACAAAATATTTATATTTAGTACAAAATTATTGAAACAACCACAAGCCATCGTATTAATAAATATATTGAATAGGGACATATTTAACGCTTATTAAGATGAAGGATATTCGTGTTGTATATCAATTTACTAAATATATGTTTGTAATAAATATCTTGTAACTCCTATGTACGCTTCCAGGTTAGTTTCAAATTTCTTCAATATAACTATGAGAGAGGTATCTCACCATGTGTTGTAGCGTTAATCGAATTTCAAAATATTGCAGCAAGTGTTTGAACATTTTCCTGAACAACTGTTCTGTCTGTTCTATCTTACGGTCCTCTCATTAACGTAGAACGGACTAAGTAATGGTTTTAATAAAGGAGAGTATATCCCTACCTCTTATCGAATTCCTGCGGAAGTTCGTAGCAAATCTAACCCGTTTCTCTCACGTTTCACCCCTCTTTTTGTCGAAGTAGCATTTCAACATCTCTATTTTTTGGTGACACCGTAGAATTATGGTGTAACATCTGCTTACAAAATCAGTTCGAAATTGATACGAAACGTTGATAAGAAACAACAGTCGATTTCTCTCTCTTTGCGGTAAAAATGATTTTCGAAGAGCCGATAAATTCTAACAAATACGTTCTTTCGTTTTTGATTTGAATCAAAATTTTGATTGATAGAAAACCTGACCTAAAACGCAGCTGCTGCCCATAAATATCGTTGTTGGTTGTATATATCTATCGTTGAAAACAAAACGAGAATGCTGGTGAATCTGCTGCATGAAATCGAACAACGATTCGACCGAGATACGCAACGGTAAAAGTGGCATGCGTGCGTTCACGGCGACTATGCCAGAGTCGCGGTCTGAAAGGGCTATGGTAAATGGTGCAATCTACCGCGCCATTTCCGACACCTGACGGAACAGTTGTTCAGATAAGACCGGAGGGAAATGAGGAAACATCGACGTGCGATGTGCCTGAAATCGGCCACGCTGTATCGAGATTCGTGCACGTTTCTCCTTGTTTCTTCGAGAAACATTCTCTCTGAGGAAGAGGAAGTATTAATATTAGGTGTCGTGTAACTAGTGCCACAACCAGCCAGAAGCTGAGCCTATTCAAAATTAAACGAAGGAGAAGGGATAACCATTTTTCCATTTAAAGCTTCATCTTTGAAAATTTCTCGAATATACTTCTCTCTCTTCAAATATATTTTTCCAATGAATTTTACAGAAAAGCACTTACCACATTTGAATTTAAAGTACAATGTAAGATTAAGTGTTAGAGTTTGGACATATAATTGTACTTACACAATGTGCAATACATTATTTTATCCAAAATGACGGCTTATGATTATTTCGATCAAAATTTGACTTGTAGTCTATCGCGCGTTTTGAATCGAATTTAAAAATTTAATAATAAATTTAATTTAAATTTAAATCCGTTATTTTTAAATTATTATACACTATTAATTTATAGATATATTATCATATTAGGAGTCATTTTTAATAAAATAAATTTTCAAATTGAGATTCATATTATTTTATATATTTCTGTATTAATTACTTTTTATTCTGTGAAATTTAATTTAATTGGATTTCACTTTCGAAAAAAGATTTAATAAAGTAATTTGATTTCTTTTCTGTGTTTGAATTTTGCAAAATTTAAATTTGGTTAATTCCAGATTGAATAAGAATGAACAATGGAATGAACAATAAAAGGTTATTCGACGTACAGAAATTAAAATAAAATAAATGCAGAATAAAATCTTCTCGTTTTCAAGAACGTGTTTCGAACGTCTTATTTCATTAAGAATTAGCGTGTCTTTGATAAATTTTCAAGCTTAATTTATTGAGAAACGAGATATCTTACCAAAAATTCTTATTCTACGTTTTGACCTATTTATATAAGGTATAATAACTTATTGTTGATTCTTCAGTCTTACTTAATGCAGAATTAAATTCAAATATATACTCTCGCACAAATTTCCAAAACACTTTCTATTTTCAGTATTCAGCGTTTATCACGGACAGTAAAATTTTTTAAGTGCGTCGATACAATACAATTATTTTACAATACAATTACTAGTAGTTTTACAATACAATTACTAATTTATGACATTTTAGACAAGATCGTTTCGAAAACGAAGTCTTGAACGAAGAAATTTTACTCTTTCTTTTCAACTTGTGTTGTTACATAGAATTGTCTCTTTTTTTGCATCAACTACGCGACACTCTGTTATAAACAATAAACTCGCGATTGAAACATAAATCACTTTAAAAAAAAAATCTGAGAAAACTTCAACCAAGGAAAAGAATCTCAAAGGAGCCATTTGCACAGACCACGAACGCAATGGGTTTAATAACGATGAAATTTATCCTACCAGCCGTCTGGTAGGCAGTAAATGGAAGTCGAATGGTTATTAAAGTAACTAGGAAGCATAGTGTCGCCCGCTTGCACCTTGTTCCGCTGCGCTGGGAAACTGTACCTCTAAAAACACAGTTTTACAGTGCCACGGGGACTAGTGGATGTTTACCGACTCCCTCGTCTTACATTAATTTCGTTCCACAGTACACAGAAGCGACAGTTTCTATTTTGTCGTCCCCGGTATTTCGGGCGGAACGAAGAATTGACTGTCGAACAAACAAGAGCAGCAAAACCAGAGAGAAAGAGAGCAATTGTGCCAAAATTGAGGCGTTGATGAAATAACGAACGGCTGATGGAAGTCCGCTTTCCGATAGAAGCGGAAGAACATGCAGCCCGATACGGAAAACGATTCGTTATCGTGTAATTGAAATGCAGGTTGTTTGGAATAGGTCATTTTAAACCAGGCGGCAGGTGTTCATCTGTGAAAATCTATATGGCAAGATTAGGGGTTACGTTGCGGCGAGTAATGCAGCGAGAACGCATTATCCGCGTTGTCGAGTGCAATAACATTAATACCGCATCATAGACGCGTAGTTGTTCTCCAAGCTGGTTAACTGCTCGCGATGCGAAAGTAATCGAGCCACCATTTCAACGAGTGTGTTTCAGCGAATAATAGCTTTACAGGTGAGTTCGCGCCGCATTACCAGGTGAGATTCAATTGGGGGTGGAATTGCGCGTCATCAGGTCAGAGTCTCATTAAGATTTGTCGAAGTTTCGGGGACAAGGGAATGGGTAATGGATTAATATTCCAACGGAGCTCGTGTAATTCACATGTCGCCCAGAGGAGTTTCAGAAAGTTTTCAGGCACGGAGCAACCTGTTTTCACTGACATCTATGCGGGTACATTCATATACCATGTCGAGCGACGCGATAAATTAAAGAATTCTTGTGGGGAAGGTTAGCAAAGAACCCGTAGATCGATATTGTCGAAATCGTGACGAAACTTTTGAATATTCATCGCCCCTTTCTCGATTCGAGGCACTCAACGAGACTATTTAAAATATTTTTTTAAAGATACCCTACATGACACTACGTTTTTCGTTTTGAAATTTTCGTCTTTGAAAATGTATTTAAAATCACTAGCCATTTACCAGGATGAACAAAATGCGGAACACCACGCGTTCGGTTACGCTCCCCTTTCTAAATCACTTTCAAAATTCATTTCAAACTTTCGTCGATCCGCGCGCTGTATCTTATCTTCCACTTAGATCGCGACAATCACCTTAGTTTGTAATCTTCGTAAAAAAAAGACAAAAGAAAAAAGAAGAAGAAGAAGAAGAAGAAGAAGAAAAAGATTCACCACGCGAAAGAACTTACCTGAACGCAAGCTTCTGGACAAGGAAGGGGAGTGCGACGGCTCGGTTAACAGGTGAAAACCGAGTGGGCTCAGAGCGCGGGAAAGCGGTCCCTCGTTGATTCGTCGGTAACTCGCGCGATTCAATTCGGCCGGCTGAACGAGTTGCCCGCGACGAATTGAAGAGAGAATCGTCCGTACAAAGTCGATGATGCGTTCGATAAAATCGCTCGGAGGAATCAGGTGAACGTGGCTCGTGCCCTGAACTACTCGTTGCCAGACGAACACAGCGTTGCGGGCGAGCTAGCTCTGTCCGGTACTTCGGTACCGTGCCGGGTACTATCCTCGATGCTTTCAGTCGGCGTCTGCGCTCTCGTAACTTCTCGACCTCCTCGTCCACGCCACCTGCACACCCCCACCGAATATCCAGCGTATTTTAGACTGCAGCTGTGCTAGCTGCTCGTCTCGCTTCCTAGCGCTCCCGTTTCTACTCGTCCACGTCTTTCTGTCTCTCTCTCTCTCTCACACATTCACTCACACATACACACATATACACGCGTTATATCTTTTCCCCCTCCGTTAACCTGACTCTCTAGCAGCGCGAGAGAGCACCTGATGCTACACCTGAGGTAGTAGGGTCAACGCTTTTGCTCGCATCTTCGAGAGGACAGCAGCTAGAATAATCCACGAGCTCCAACCGATGGCAAACAAAGAGTTTGCGTTTCGTCGTCGCAGGTGGTAATTACCTTACCCGTTCGGCGAGTGTTTGGGTTGGGGTGACATTAACTGTTAACCAACCGATTTTCCACTCGCGGCTATTTGGAAAAGATTGCACCGCAGGGACGTGTTCAATGCCGTGGCTCGTTGTTCGCCATTCCGCGTTGAAGGTGAAATATACTGGTGATATTTTGGTGAAATATGGTGCGCGCCAAGTCGTTGAATAATTCGCACGTTTATTGGCCTGTGCTCTTGACATTTCTGTTGGCAAATGTTTACCTTGGTTTTGACGTATGATAATTACGGTTTTCTTGATGGTTTAATTAACTTCTCTATTTATTTACCATTTGTTAATTGCGTAAATTTGTGTCACGGGCATGTGTAATCTTTTTGCATACATGTAGGATGATATTTTCGCTCGCGGTTGATTAATGGGACAATAGAACATTTACGTTTGTTGCTTTGAAAGATAAAGGCATTCCGGTTTTTCCTCTTCGCCCTTTCTCTTTTTGGTCATACACGCCCAATGACGCCCGTGCTTCTTGTAAAAGTTGTTTGCTGCCAGAAGACTCGTGACTCAACAAAAATGCACATTTGATTCTGTAATTTATGTTTTACGATTACAATTTCGAGAGGAATACTGAATATCAATGATGTAGAAGTTTAAGAGACAAAAACTAAACATCCCCCATCACTTTTATGCAAAAACGTTTATAAACGTGTCGTTCGTCGAAATGACTTCCTAGTTCCCTCAGGATACTCCAAATCTCAAGAAACTCTCATCTAGCTCACTTGACTCACTGTAAACCTGCCTCTCGTCCAATCTCCAAATAATAAAGTCAAGGATTATCCGTAAACCGATGGATTTTTCGTTCGATCGCCGACGGGAGTTAAGCTCGCCGATTGCACTCGCTGTTGGAATGAAATTCAGCTCGTGTGTCGCAGCTCATTTGCACGCAGCCACTACTCTATTTACGCAGACAAACTAATCAAACTTTGACCTCTTCGATTGCGAGCCTCTTTGCCGAAAGACCCACGAAACAGAACAATTTTCGCGAACAATTTCGCATTTGATTTTTAACTCATTCGACACGCTCGTAGATAGACTCTGCAAGAAATCAAGTTGTGATATTTGATGTTTCTTCGCGTTGTTATTTAACGTTGTAGAGAACGAATGTACATGGAATTGGAAATAAATTAGAATATTCATTTATTAACGCACTCTATTATGTACTTATTTGAATTGATAGCTTTCGTAAATACTAGGATAACTGTCCATGTAGCGTGTCTGTGCTAGTATTAAAATAAATTATAGAGTAAAGTTTGTGAAAGTAAAAAGTATAGAAATTATTAAATTTTTCGTTTCTCATTCTACGAGATCAATGAAATTTAGTTTTCAGTTTGGTATCTATAATTATTACTATTATATTATGTTATTATTAATATAGTATTGGCATAGAGATAGATGCCTCAAATCATATTAAATACAATATATAATTATAAAATCTTTATTCGTGTTTTTCCACAATTATATAAGAAATCTATTTTAATTAATTTTGACAAACGTTAACTCATCTCAACCGACGTTCGTAATTTATTTTAATCATTTAAGAATTTATTCTTGTACTTGTTTATTTTTCGATATTTTATAAATATATTTTTACTGTCTGTATTTCGTATCTGTTTGTATCAATTTACACTTGCATCAACTCATTTCGATTTCAATGAAGAAACAAATTCAGAAAAGACGTAGAAACTCACGTGTCCGCAATACAAATACCTGGAGTCTAACCGTTAATAACGTAACTTTCTGTGAAAAATTTCAAAATTATTTCAGCAACTATTTTCCATCCTTCCACCGTTCAAATATCTGCCACTTTCCCACAGCAAACAATCAGTGACTATAGTTATCGCTACTTACGAACGGATTAAAACTTCTATTTCACCAAGTTACTCTTGCCCATCTCGATTAGCGCCAGGTGTTGCGTTTTCCGAGACGAGAGTAGTTACCGTTCCATCCTCGTCCTTCGAGCCCTGGTACCGATACACACCTGAGACGACGGGGGTCAATGTTTGTACGCGCAACTTCGATGAGATTGAAGTTACTCCTCCGAGTTCGGTATTAGGTGGATGCAACGACTAGGCGTTAGACCCCGGCGAACCACATCACGATGGTCATTCAATTTTACCAGCTCGTCGAAAGTTTTCCAATTTTACTGGCTGGACGGATCAACGAGCATCTTACGCGCTACTTTATAACTTACGCGAGACTCAACTCACTCTCTTTCTCTCTCTCTCTCTCTCTCTCTCTCTTCTGCCCATTCGTTTTCAAAAGTCAAAGAAACACGCAAAGAAAATCATATTCTTTCGTCCATGTTTATTCGATTCTGTTTCATTAACGTTCCGTTTCCATTCGCGTTTTCTTTCGGACGACATCAAGCTTTGCAAGTTTATCTTGATTGCTCGTGTGAATATGTTCAATATGTTCATGAATCAGCGGACTTTTAATACATCGACAATTATATTAATATATATTTTGCGACGTATTTAGAGAATGATACAGTTAAAATCAATTGTGTGAAAAATGGCCACAGGCAAAGTTTGTTTATTCAAAAATCGTCGGTCAGTAATGTGTTTCGCACTGAAGACTTCAACCAATCCACATAAAACACACTTATTTAAATTACACATTTACATACTTTAACTTAATAATAATTACTTTAATTAATAATAAATACAATAGAATCAAACAATGAGATTGTTGTAAAACAATTGTTTGTTTGAACAAAATGAGGAAATGTCCGCAACTTAGGACAAAAACGTAAAAACTCGCGAAAGAATCGAGAATTTCTTAAACATTTCCGACGAATGGATCATTTCTACGAGCGACGATTGAAATTGTCGATTTGTTTTCTTGGAACGTTCGACGGGAAACTCGACATTGACAGGTATCGGCGATTCACTTTGTAGAGATAGAATAAATTTCTTTCACGCTTCTAGTCAGTTTCTTGTGTGATCGTCTCGACACGGCCGACCGCGTATGTACCTATACTACTTGAACTCAGACGCACTGGTCCAAATGCGACGATTCTCAATTTAAAGAACGATCTTCTGTTTCGATAGAGTTATAAGTGAGTGATAAATGTTTTGAACGATGAAACGATGAATTAAATAAATTGCTTTAGTAAGTAATTTCAACAGAATTTCTGAGATCCTCAACTAAATGCTCCGATAATTAAATGAATTAATTAATTATCGAGAATAGAATCGCGGTTGTGAACAGATTGGGCAATCTCCCCGCTCAATCATTCTCTGTCTGATAAATAGATAATTGTAATGAAACTTTAATTAAGTTGTATGCATAATTGGCCTTATATCTTGTATCCTCACGAGTGGGCACGTGTTTATTGCAGCATGCTTTTTTCCCTGAACTAATTAATGAGCAAATAATGTCGATTTTGTTTCTGTATTAAACACATTTCTTCGAACGTGCTCTCGTTATCGTCATTTGTCTACCGGGTACTGAATATTCATTAACATCTACGACTATAATTTAAAAATGCGAATATCAAGAGGGTATATTTATCTGGAAAGAGCTTTCTCTGTAAATAATTTTTAGATTAATGTTGGACAAAGTTTGCATTTTTAATGGTGTTTCAAATATGTAGGGAAAAATGTTTATGTAACATTCTGTTTCATTGATGAAGTCTTCTTTTGAATGGCTATTACGATTGATGTCGTTATACCCACGTGAAATAATTTCAATCTACATTAATGTAATTCTGGTTCTAAAATTAATCATCAATGTATTGTTTTGCCACAATAGCCGCCACATGAAGAATAAAAATCTATCTTATCACAAAGATTTCCACTTTATTAGGCGACACAGAAGCTATTAGAAATATTTTTTATGGAGCTAAAAAAAACATCTATCTCATACATATGTAAAATTTCAAAGAAATTGGATCATTCGATAGAGAAATTATGACAAAGCGTTGAAAAACACGGCTTTGAGAAAAACACGTTTGAAATTCTGCGTTTAATTCCGACATATATAATGTCATTTACTTTTCATCTAGTGAATAAATCGTGCCCTCGTTTTCTATTCAAATTTACGGTTTGATCATTTTATGAAAATGAATTGACTAACCAAACCAAATGAATTAACTATTAATGAGCGTAAGCATACTGTGTACGCTTTCTATTACTTTCTTAAAGTTTAATTTAAAGTGTAATTTTGATTTTTTCTGTAATAATTGTGTCACTTAATTTCTGGAGTGTCAAATTCTAGATACAATTCTTAAAAAAAAAGCATGAAAACTGAACAAATTTTTAATTCTTTCAGATAGGAATATCTCTTTAAGTAAACAATTGTTTCACCTACCAAATATTGTGGAATGTGTTGTATTTCTTTATATTTTGTAGAGTTTTGAGTATTACGTGCGTTTTGTGTATTTTTGTACCTTTTAATTTTCCACGAATGCAGAATAAATCCGCGGATCGTGAATTACATTAAAACAAAAGAGTAATTTCTCTTTCTATCTTCGCGACCGGAGATAGACAATAAAATTCCTCGCGAGAATTAACTCGAAGATTTTCAGACGCAAACATCTGTAAACCATGGCGTGCGGACGCATCCGACCTGTTAAAGCTTGATGGCG